TATTAGTAAAATCAAGTCCATGAGAATAAATACAGGGAACAACACGCTATTTACTATCGACAATATGCAGATTGAAAATGTGGAAAACTTTACGTATCTTGGAAGTGTCATAACAGAAAACGGAGGTAGAGAAGACGATATTCGTACGAGGATACGAAAAGTTCAACAAGCTTTCAGCACGCTCAACCCTGTTTGGAGATCTGGCGAGTATACTACAAGGACAAAGATCCGAATATTCCGATCCAATATCATGTCTGTTCTACTCCACGGATGTGAAACCTGGAAAGTGACAAACACCCTCACAGACAAACTGCAGGTCTTTGTTAACAAATGTCTACGAAGAATTGTTCGTATATTCTGGCCTAACACCATCAGAAACGAAGATCTGCTACACCTGACCGAACAAAAGAGGGTACAAAATGAAATGAAGTCCAGAAAGTGGGGTTGCATCGGTCACACACTCCGAAAAAATAGTTCCAGTATCGCAAAGACTGCCCTAGAGTGGAATCCCCAAGGGAAAAGAAAAAGAGGTCGCCCAGTACAAACTTGGAGAAGATCCAAAATAAAAATATACCTCAAAAGCTGCGAACCAAAGTGTTTAATTCCTGTATTCTACCTGTACTTACATAGGAAGCTCAAAACCTGGACATTCACTAAAATAAACAGGGAGAAGATCAGAAAAACTCAGAGCTATGGAACGACAGATGCTGGGTGTCTCAGTTAAAGACCATAAAACCAATGAAGACATCCGTAATAGAACAAAAGTAAAAGATGCTGTCGAACAGGCAGTTAAACTGAAATGGAAATGGGCTGGATATAACGAACGTCTTAAGGATGGCCGATGGAATAAAGAAATCGGGAATTGGCCCTTGCCGCAAATTGTAAGCTTTCGATTAATCGGAATGTGTCATTGAAATAAGAAACAGAGACAAAACTCAGAGCATTATATAAAAAATATGAAAAAAGAGCCTCAATCTGGAAGCAACAAACAAGAAAGCTGGATCTTCTTCTGGATTCTCTCGTGACGAAGACGATCTCAAAATTTTGTCACTGTACAAGAATAGGGTGCGCTTTGACGATGAACTGGATCGATATCTAGCAGAAGAACGAGAAGAGAGATACGTGGACATCTTATCTTGGTGAAAAAAAAAAAACCAGAATACATTTCCTACCATGGCTTCCCAGCAGAAAGACTCTTTTCCACAGCCGGCTTGACCATCAGGAAATAAAGAAGCCAGCTCAGCGAATGTGTCAATTACTGCGATCCTTTGAGTCCAGTCATGGACAAAAGAAAATATTTTTTTAATTTAATTAAAGAATACTTGTACATATATATATATATATATATATATATATATATATATATATATATATATATATATATATATATATACATATATATATATATATATATATATATATATATAATTGAAATAAGTACTTTTTGGCTAGTGACTTTTTTATTTTTAGTTTTATGAAAAAAAGTATTCTTTAAAAAAATCTGCATGTTCCAAAACCTAAATACAATCATCAGATATTAATTTTTTCAGTCGTATACGCACTTTGTCAAAAAATATGAATTTAATGAAGAATAAAATATGTATTTTTTTATAACTTTATTTTTAACAATATCGTTAATCGTTATTAAGAAAATTTAATTCTACTTAATTAAAAACTATAGTTTATATTATCCATACAAACCGCAGTTTGTGCATACATTAAAGGAAAAAGATTATGATAAACGGTAGAGGTGTCATTTCTTTTATTTTATAAATTCTAATTAGCGATTAGAAGAAGAAAAATCCTACGGACGATCTTTGAATCGGTGCTTAATGGGACAACAGGACAATAAAGGATAAGAACTAACAAAGATCTAGAAGAACTATATGCATAGGCCAACATTATACAAGACAAAAAGTCCAGAAGAGCCTAGTAGGCAAGACATCTCTGAAGATATTCTAATGAAAGAATAATAAGACTGATAACAGAAAAAAAACCTCGTGGACGAACTCGGCTAAGGTAGCTAGATAATATAGCAGGAGATCAGCTATAGGTGTGCAGAATTGGACGACGATTGTACAAGACAGAAAGGAATAGAGGCTGTTTTCAAGTCGGCTAACACTAAATCGAGTACGAGTAATAGTAATTCTGCGAAGGGATCATAAATGTAGCTCCCGTGGTGCCAATTCAAACATTATCTTAAAATATTATTCTAACGGCATTGGGCATGCCTTTTGAATGCTCACTTTCCCGGTACAACCTTTACTGAAGATGAAGCAAAGACTGAGGTTGATGAATCTATATACATCAAATATATCGAAGAACCTAACGGAGAAAATCTTCGCAAAAAAAGAATCGAATGAATTATCAATAGTTGTAAGACGTATCAGTCTTCAGGGTAGGACGGCAGCTTTCCAACCCTACTTGCCTCAGCATTCCTCTATTATATACGTATTTCATAATTACCTAATCACCAGGAAGAACTTGTGAGACTCAAACAGAAAAGAAACTAATCTCGTCCAGCTGGAAATTATCACACGTTTTGTCTAACATAAATATGGAAAAGGATGAATAATAAATGTTTATAACTGTACCTACGATATCAAAAAAAAACAAAAATATAATGCTTAATCGATAATTTATACCGATAATTTATTAATTTATTTATAGTATTAAATATTTAGCAGCTTATTCACAAACGATATTTAAAAAATATTATCTATATTAAATTAATTAATCGTTTATAAACAGGGTTTCGCAAAAATATAAAATAGTAAAAAATTTTTTATTATTATTAATAGATATTTATGTACCAAGGGTGATATTAAGATGATTACGCCCGGAGAACAACATAATCCAGCCAAAGGGCCTGTGGTCCGAGGGATGGATGTTGCTCGATGGGCGTAATCATTCAGTAACACCAGTGGTACATAAAACTGGTCTTTGAAACTATCACACATGTATTTCCTATTCGAAGCCATTCATTTTTAAGTTGCGATCAATATTTTTCATTGATTGAAAAGCACACAAAATTTGAAACTGTCGAAATGCCTAAAGAATGAGAAAAAGTGGAATGGAGAAAAAGAATGCGAGGAGCAAACCATCACTGTTTACCGTAACTGATGTTAATGAGTCTATGATATTTAATATTTTAGATGCAATAACTCCATTTTTTCTTAGATCAGCTCGTTCTCCAGTAAAAATCAAAACCGTGCATATGTTGAGATATTATGTTAATGAACCTGGGGTTGTTTTAGTAATTACGAACAAAATCAAGTATTACAGTCAACAATATGGACTCAATATAAACGTTAAAAAGACAAAGCTTATGATAATTAGCAAGAAAAGGATAACAGAAGGTCAACTCTACGTCAAACAATCCTCTGTAGAGTGGCGCACTACAAATACCTCGGCAACATAATAAATAAAGAATGGATCAACAATCAGGAGATTAGAGCACGCATCAGAAAAGCTAGATCCACCTTAAATCGGATGAGTGCCTTCTTCAAGACTCACAACCTCTCTCTTGATACAAAAGTAAGAATGCTGCGAAGCTACGTCTTCTCTGTCCTTTTTTATTGTGTTGAATCGTGGACCTTGAACGAAGATATGTGTAGAAAACTGGAAACATTTGAGATGTGACTATATCGGAGAATACTTAGAAGATCCCGTGGACTGACCGAGTCACAAATGAGGAGGTTCTCAAAAGAATGAATAAGGACCGAGAGGTACTGAACACGATCAAATCTCGAAAGTTAAAATTCTTCGGACATATTGAATCGGACAGAATATTTGAATATTTGAAAAAAAAAAACAGAGGCTCAAAACTTTTATAACCAACGGCTCACAGAATCTGATCATCTGTCTGAAAAGATTACTGCTTTAGACGAAGACGATAACAGCAGTGGTGTAAGTGATGAAAACTAAATATTCTGTATAAATTTCATATACAATAGGTTTTCGTTCATTTTTCACTTTAGTTTAATACTATAAATATCCTTTTTCCTACAAGTTTCCTAAAAATTTCCTGCAAAAACTCAATATTTCGAATGAAAAAATGACGTTGCTAAAAACCCAAAGGAAAAAATAATGTTATTTTTGGTTGAGTTTACCGAAAGTACAAGCTGAATATAGCCGCAAATGTCAAAAATAATTCGGTTTGGCACTGTTGGCATGTTTATATAATGCATATGTTGTATGCTTCAAATATAAAGAGATAAAACTTTTAAAAAGTACATTTTGATTATACTATTTTATGAATTCTGCAATTTTTAATTTATATGAAGCAGTAACGAGTAGATATTTGTCTCTTTCGAGATTTATTGCAAACATCTATTGTAATCTGACAACTGCTGATTTGACGATTGCCAAATCTATCCCATAATCTATCAAAGGGTAATTGCTAAAAAAATTTCTCATAATTAACTACAATTAATCTCCATTGAAACAAATATTTACTCATTCTTGTTTCATAGAAATCAAAAATTGCAGAATTCATAACATAATATAAACAAAATGTACTTTTTCTAAACAAAATGTAGCTTTATCTTTTTATATTTGAAGCATACAGCATCTACATTATAAAAACATGCCAACACTGCTAAACCAAAATTTTCTGTTCCATGTTTGACATTTGCAGCTATCATCAGCTTGTACTTTCGGTAAACTCAACCTTATTTTTATTGTAAAATGTGTGTCATCTTAAAAATAAATAAATCACTAATTTCAGAATTTCCGCAAACTTAATATTAAATTCAATCAAATAACTTTTTAAAATTTTCTTCAATGTTGTAATTAACGACAAATGGAGTTTTTGAGCACGAGAGAACAGGAACAAAACCGGCAATAGACAGGAACTACTGGCAAAAGACAGTGAGGTCAACTAAGGATGTTGTACCACTGATAATGATGATGAGGATATTGGCCCCACATCATAGTTCTATACATTAGTTTTCATTTAAAACAATGTAAAATTATGAATTATTAATCAATTAACTTACCGGTGAGGGTTTTACGCTGAGTTTGGGTTTAACCTCTTCCTTTAAAGCAACGCTTCTTTGCGGCGGAGGTATTGCCGGCATGCCTTCATTGTTTAAACCTAGAACGTGGGCGGCGTATTCTCCTTGCATTCCCATATCTGCTCCGGTATATGGACCGTTGTCTACTCTTTTCAGCCAATACAATCGCTCAGCGTGCGGCCTAGAGGTCATTTCGTGAGCATCCCATTGTTCCAGAAGCAATTTATAGCAAAGGTAACAAGCAGGAACTGAATATTCGTTTTTAGATATATGTCCGACGGGCGGTTCGTGCGATTCCAGGAACGGAAAGTAAGGTTCTTTCGGCTTGTCTTGCACTGGTCTGGTGTTTAAATAATAAATGTAAGGTTGATTTCGGTTTCCACAGACGAAACATACGTCGGGAGTCTGATGCAGTTTTGTTGAATGCGTGGTCTCGGATGGCGGTTCATTTTTTAATGGAATTTTTTCCATCGCTTGCATGCCTTCCTCTGAAAAGATAACATAAAATTAATAATATTCTAAAAAACATAAATTTGACGTTAAAAAATAATATTAAAACACAATATTGTATTATCATACCTAGCACAAAGACACATTTTTGTTATATCGAAATATTTGAGTACGAAGCAAACTACTTAAGCATAGTAAGGATAACTGTGATGATAACGTCAAAAGGATTAAAATTCTGGATATTCTGTACAAAATGGAAAGTTGTACCAATGGGAAAAGATTAACAATGAGACAATTCAATCAAGTATTGGTGATACATATCGATATATTGGTCCAACGAAGATTGTAGTAACTCAAATTTTCCACTTTTTGAGTTACGAGCGCAAAACAATAAAACAATGATATCTTCTCCAGGAAAGAATCGTATCTCAGTAAACGTAGTTATGCAATCAATATTACGTGTAAGAGTTTTATAGTATCTCCGATTTATGAAAAACAACCGTAGAAAATCATCGTATCTTGAGTTACAATAGTCTTCGTTGTTATCTGAGGCGATAGCATAGGTATCGTAACATGAGTTACTACGGTATTCTGCGTTAGTTTAAGGTTATGTTCAAAAGTTTAATTTTGTTATAATTGCCATAATGTGTTCCAGAAGTGAGTTAATATTGGAATTAGCTGAGAAAGCGTATAAAAACACTGAAACGGATATTTCTTATCGTTCTTTTGAAGGTAAATTTATAATAAACTTTATTTAAAATAATAACCGCAAAGTAAAAACCTACTTATTTTTTAAGGTAAACATATTGCTGAAAGTATTGTAGAAGAAAGCAAATACAAAAAGGCGAATGAGGATCCTGGTGACCACGAGACTGATATTAATCCTGAATGTTCTACAGGTTGGTTTAAATTCCGCATGAAAAAATATTACGTAGGCATTTACCTCATTTTTGTTTAATTTTAGTAAGCTTAAAGGAGAATGAAGCCAATAGGAATGAAAATGAAATAATTGAGAAGGAAAGCGATGAGGAACCATTTCATGCAGACTCTGATACTGACCCAGATTACATTCCGATAGAAGAAAAAAACATCCCTGAAGTAATAATTGAACCTAATAAGAATATAACTGTAGCAACCACAAATAGAAAGAGAAGAAGCAGAGGCAATATAGAGAGAGTAAGTAGGAAAAGAATTAGAGACGTTAGTAAGTGGGCGGATGAAAATTCTAAAACAAGTCTAAACCTGGGACTTGAACATGAAAATCGAAAAGGTATTCAAATTAAAGGAAGACAGATGGGTGCACCATGCGCAAATACATGTAGACTAAAATGTGCTACCAAAATAGCTAAAGAAGATAGAGACCTTTTTTTCAATGAATTTTGGAAGTTAAAAGATCATACGAGAAAGTGGGAGTTTATTGCTCGTCATTTGAGACAGGTTGCCAAAAAACAAGTAACTATTACTGCAGAACAACGGTCTCGAAGAAATTACTCTCGAGAATATTACTTCTACATTCGCAATGAAAAACAACGTGTTTGCAAAACTATGTTTTTGGAAACCCTTAACGTTTCAGAAACTTGGATCACTACAGCATTAAGGAAACTGAAAGATGGTGGATCATTAGAGGAAGATAAACGTGGAAAGCACACTAACAGACCACATAAACTATCACCAGACAACGTAAAAAATCACATAAATCAGTTTCCTGTAGTACCTTCCCATTATACCCGTAAGAATACGATGAAGATGTAACTTGAAGAAGGGCTAACTATCCAGAAAATGTACCGATTGTACAACGAGCATTGCGAAAAAAATAACATCACTACAGCTGCCACGTCACGCCAGTACAGAGATATTTTGACAATGAACAGTTCAATATTGGGTTCTTTAAACCAAAAAACGACCAGTGTACTGTTTGTTCTGTTTTTAATATGGCTAGTGATGCTGAAAAAGCAAAATTGCTCGAACAATATGAGTCCCATATGAAAAACAAAACTTAAAAGGCATATATATCAGAAACTTAAAAGACATATACAAACAGCTTGCACTAGATGATAAGAGCTTGTGTGTGGCTTGCTTTGACCTTCAAAAGGTTTAAGCTACCCCTTTGTCTAACGTAAGTTATTTTTACTACAAAAGCAAATACTCTACATATAACTTTACAGTTTATGATGTTGGAAATAATCAGGGTTACTGCTATGTATGGCACGAGCAGGTGGCTAAAAGAGGTCCTAATGAAATTGCCAGTTGCCTCTGGAAATTTTTAGATCTCAAGGCACAACAAAGTGTTAAAACGATAATATTCTACTTAGACAACTGAATCGTTTTGTGTTTTCGATGTTTGCTTTTGCTGCTGCTCATTTTCATATCGATATTGTTCACAGATTTTTGGAAAAAGGCCACACTCAGAACGAGGGTGACAGTATGCATGCTGTTATCGAAAATGCAAAGAAAAGGCAATCGGTTGTATATGTGCCAGAACAGTGGGTTACATTAATTAGAATGGCTAAAACTACAGGAAGAGTTTATGATGTTACGGAAATGTCCCAAGATAATTTTTTTAATTTTAAAAAACTGACTGATACCGAGAATTGGAAACTTGACAACGAAAAGAAATCAATAAAAGTTAGCAAAATACGAGAAATAAAATTTTCGCATGAACACCAAAATTCTATAATGTTTAAATACGAATTCGATGATGGTTTTAGAGGTTGTGACATAAAATTAAATCGAAAATGCAGAGGACGGCCTTCCACTACTATCAAATTTCCACCGAAACTGTATGATGCACCATTACCAATTGAAGAAAAAAAGCTAAAAGGATTACTGTGGCTGTGTAATACCGGCAAAATACCCACAATGTACCATGGATTTTATAAAAATCTTAATTCAAAGAGTTATGTACCTCCTAAAGTCGAGCTAGAAGTTGATTCAGTTGAGAGCGAAGAAGAGTCGGATGAGGAAAATTGAATTAAAATATAAAACTGCAAATTATATCAGTAGCTTCTTCAAAATGTGGCATTTTATATAAATAAAGTTAAGAAACAAATAATTCTGGTATTTATTACTTTAAAAATATCTCCATCGAAAACTATAGTAACTCATTCAAAAGTCACTTATGACCATTTCTGTCTTAAATCTGTTTTACCCTTGTAAGATCATTATTAAAAGTATCACTTAATGCTATAAAAATATCCATTTAATAGATTAATGAATTTTGGTAACAGTGTAAATACATTTTTATAATTATCTCAATTACATAAAAAATGAGTTACTACAGTCTTCGTTGGACCAGTCGATATATAGTATGGTTGAAGTGACCTTCTAACTGAATATATCTTAGACGAAAATACATATATCAATTATAATTCGTTTCTAAATACTTGGTATAGTTTTTACTGCACAACTCATTTGCGTTTTACGATCCGCGACGAAATTTGTGAAATTTCAAATTTAACAAATTTAAATGGTCACTAAAACGAAAATTGCTACTGCGAAATTTAAACGGCGATTTTACATTCTTTCTTCTTATCATTTGACTGATAAAACTCCAGCAAGATTACAGAAGAGGAAAGGAAGGTATAACTTTATGATCTTTTAATTAATTGATGGATTCGACCGTTACTTTGTTTACTATGTTACTACACTGTTACTACACTGAAAACTTTGTTTTCAAACTTCCACAAAAATTTATTTTAACTCTTATCACTACAGCTGTTTCGGCTGATTGCCTTTCTCAGGTTTGAGAAAGGCAATCAGCCGAAACAGCTGTAGTGATAAGAGTTAAAATAAATTTTTGTGGATCTTTTAATTTTTCTAGCACAATATTGAACAAACTTTATTACATATATACAATAGTACTAAAGGCCTTAGAGGCCCATGGCTTGAAAAGTTTGTTCTTTCTTCATTTTCGCTTTCCTTTATGTACTGAGATCTTCTCTGGCTCGATATGTAATTTTTCTCCATTTCTTCTTGTTATTCATTTTTCTTTTCTGGCCTTCTAGTGCAATTTTTTCCATATCTTTTTTTACCTCTTGATTCCATCTATTGTTTGGCCTTCCTTTTCTCTTTTTTGAAGCTATAGTGTAGTTTAGTACCATTTTTGGAGTTCTCGTGTTCAGCATCCTTTCTAGGTCACCTCGCCATCTTAGTCTCTGTGCCTTTATGCCTTTAACTCACCATTTGATCTTCTTATCTATAAACCGTCTCTTATTATTCCTCCATATATTTTCCTTTCCCATATCTCCAGTCAATTTTGTTCATTTTAGTCATTGCCCATGTCTCACTGCAGTATGTTACTATTGGTTGTATAGTTGTTTTGTAATACTGTATTTTTGCCTTTCTTGATAAAAACTTGTTTTTCAACATTCCACTAAGAGCATGTACACTTTTATTGCCTGCCAGTATTCTAGCTTGTATTTCTTCTTTAATGTTAGGTTTACGTGATATTGCACCTAGGTATTTAAATCTTTCTACCATTTCGAATTCGTATGATGATCCTTCTTCTACTTCTACTTTAAACTTTTGCCCATCCCTAAACTGATCATTTGTCCACTGCATACATTTTGTTTTAGTTGCATTTTTGTAAAGTCCCATTTTCTTCGCTGCTTTTACTATTCTCTGTACTATCTCCTGCACAACTTGGTGTCTTTTATGACAGGAGTCCTTCTCTACTGATTTTTGCTTGTCGCATTATTTTTTCTAGGCATGAATTGAAGAGTAATGATGACAAAGGATCGCCCTGCCTTAATCCTTCGTTTACTATAAATTTGTCCGATGAATGACATCTGACCTGGCCTTCTGACATCTGAAATAGTAAAATTCTTTTCCTGGTGTTTTTTCTTTATTTGTTTTAGCTTAACACTTGCATCGGCGACTAAAGGGTTGTGATTAGATCTAATATCTGCTTTAGGGTATGTCGTAATTCTACTGATGGTTGATGATTTTCGTAACTCTACTGATGAGTTCCTAAATCTTTTGTTGAGAAGAATAGTAGAAAGGGGTGGGTATTTAAAAAACAATTCAATTTA